GTTTTTTAGGTCGTGACGGAAGAATGGTGTGGTACATTGTTAAATATAGTTCGACAAATCTCGGTGAGGTAACCATGGCGATGTTCTTAAAATCACAGACATCTCTCCTTCTAGTCACTACCACAACAACGGGTTCAAAAGGTAACAAGAATTAAATCCTAGCGTTACTACCACCGTTACCAGAACAACGGGTACAAAATGTAGCACGAATAAAATCCTAGCGTTACTATCACCGTTACCAGAACAACGGGATCAAAAGGTAACAAGAATGAAATCCTAGCGTTACTACCACCATTACCAGAACAACGGGTACAAAATGTAGCATGAATAAAATCCTAGCGTTACTACCACCGTTACCAGAACAACGGGTTCAAAATGTAGCACGAATGAAATCCTAGCGTTACTACCACCGTTACCAGAACAACGGGTTCAAAATGTAGCACGAATAAAATCCTAGCGTTACTACCACCGTTACCAGAACAACGGGTACAAAATGTAGCACGAATGAAATCCTAGTATTACTACCACCGTTACCAGAACAACGGGTTCAAAATGTAGCACGAATGAAATCCTAGCGTTACTACCACCGTTACCAGAACAACGGGTTCAAAAAGGTAACAAGAATGAAATCGTAAAATGAAAAACGTTTTAAAATAAATTAAACAAACATACGAGATTTCACAACTTCAAAGTTAGAAATATCAAAAACAACCGATCACTCTAGAAACTTTCATTGACAAGTTTACTGACACTTACTTACAGTTTCCCGAGAATAAAAAAACCAAAAAAACACGGTTCTCTGGTATAATTACACGTCTCTCCTTGCTCTTCTGATTCCGTAGACCTACGCTATGAATTTCGTGGCATAATTTACTAGAACAATGGAGCGTGTAGGATCTTTTCATCGTGTTTGAAACCTGCGATGAGGGTTTGGACTTAACATTCGGGGATCATAAACGAAAATGCCACTAAGAAAGGCAATACTTGCAACAGTAATTAAACACTAGAAGAAGCTTTTAAAACCACGTGGGAATTCTACGTCCGTTCTCTTTTTGTTTTCTGTATACCTGCCCAAGGTCTAAAAATCACGAGCGTACCCAAGGTCTAAATCATAAGGTTGATATTTTGTACTTATTTTCAATACACCTATACATCAAGAATGTTTAAGCGAATATTTTCTGTTTTTCCGTGTTGTAAACGTTTGCGATAAAAAAAAAATCTTATGAATGATAGGGAAAAAAAAATCCAAATTATGATCAATTACACCGAAGCTAATTATATCGCAATTTGATTGGTTCTTGTGGTGTAATGACGCAAAACACCAAGGCTATCTGCGTCATTCCAGTAGACAAAAAAAAAGAATTTTTAGAAAAAATGAAATGTACCAAAATGTGTCATTTTTTTTGTTTTGTTTTCAAACAAGATTAATAAAGTAAATAAAATAAAAAAAAGGCCTATGGCCCGTAAAAGGCTAAAAACAAGACCAATCTGGACAGTGTAAGCATCAGCAACGAAACTGTCCAAAGGTAAGTCCTTAAAAAAAAAAAACAGCATCTAAAACGGTCCCCCGCTGGTAGTCACAGCATCTAAAACGGTCCCCCGCTGGTAGTCATAGTGACAGCATGAAAGGAAAATGTAGCCATTTGTGATTTAAGTGTCAGAGATCACACTTTGGTGGATCAGTTCCTTGTAGAAGAAAAACCATGAATGATGAAACTGCGGTCATTGCGGAGCCTAGATAATCCCAATTTGTGGGGTTCTGGGGAATACAAAGAACGGTTCGGCCAAGTTAATCTGATGTTATCAGACGAGCATACTCCCCAATGACCCTGCCGTAAGCTTGAGGGTTTATACATTAAAAATTTGGGTTAGATACCCGTGGTGGACACGATGTAGATGGCCCATCATGTAGTTTTGAGCTTTATAAAAAAAAAGCAGAAAAACACGAGTGTTGGTTACAGTCATCAATCGCGACGCCACCTGGACAGCGCACTGAAACGTGCTTCGACAGGACTTCACAATTGAACGGGTGGAGATCCCATGCTGGAGGAGTTCAGAAATAAGTAACATACCATATGTCTTGGAGAAAAATATATTAAGCGCACTGTGTGGTTGAGATTATGAAAAATAAAAATACTTAAATAAGAATAAGATCAGTGTCATAAACTATCTAGTTTGATTATATACACACATCTTCACAACACACGCAACGACAACAACGCGTGCGACGTAAAATAAAAAACCTAATAAATCCAGCGATTTCTCCCGGTTTAAAAATCTTGTATGATTGAGATCCCCCCACCCACCCACTTCTACTAACCGATAGACAATATTACAGCAAAAAGTTGTTTTTATGTGATGCGACACAATAGGCTGTCCACCGCAGGGAATCCAACCCCAGATTTCAACGTTCTAGGTTCGTAAACTTATCATTTGCTTAGGGGTCAGTGGTAAATTTGCTTCTTTGGTGTGTGGGGGAGGATAGAAGGGGTGGGGCTAGCTAACAGCAACCGCCGTCACATGGAGTTTAACTAAATTAAATAACAGGGGTCAACTGTCACCTTTTAAAATACACTCACAGTAGAAGGTTCTGAACGTGTTCAACGACATCACGTCTCGAGCCCTGGACCATTCGACCCATAGCTTGACTTGTTCGCCACTATTCCCCGCTTAGAATCTTAAGCAAGACATAGTATGTGAATAAGCTAAGACAGTAACATTTTACAATAACTTATCTTCTTCCACGAGATTTAATTTTAGTGATTTATCATCTACAAACAAGTTCACTATGGAGAATTGTGTAAAAATACAAGACTATTTATTTGAAGCCTTATTTATGTAAATAACTTCTTCGGTATATAAATCTGATAAGTGGTGAATTATATATATATATATATATATATTTTAAACAGAATATATTGTAGCTGTTAATTCTTTAACGTTATCATTAACTGGTTAAACTGTTGTTCCTGATGTGCCGCATTTCCATTTGTTGCAACGTTATCACAATACATTGTAAACAAATGATTGTTTAACACTTGGGGATACAGTTCACACCCGGATGCAGTTGGAGGTTTCACACATGCGCAACTCGAGTAACATCCATCAGTCTCATGCTCCACCTGCTCCTAGAATCCAGGCCTAACAAAATCTTAGAGTTTTTACGATTAAGTTCTTATTTTTACTCACATCACCTACAATGGATTGTACTGCTAAGTGTCTGGTCCTCAACACAATAAAACTACAAGTGTAAATGTTACCCACTTCACCTCTCTACAATAGACTGTACTGCTAAGTGTCTGGTCCTCAATTTCTTCACCAACTTGCCCGTAGCAGCAAGAACTACAAGTTAGGTTACTTATGTATTAATGGCGATACGTTAAGTTGAACATTAATTTTTGATTGCCCACTAATACTGAGCCTACCTATACATTCTTAAGTTCTTAGAATTGCTAATTGTAGTATTTTTAGGTTAACTATGTGGTTTCTTGATCCGCTAACTTGATGGGTCGTCAGTTCTTCTGAATAATGAGTAAAATTAACTCAAATTATAATAAATAATTAATATTAAGATGAAAAAAAACATTTGGTCATTAATTCTAACCCTAATTCTGATTTGTAAATAACTTATAAAAATTACACTTCAACCAAATTTTGTTCACACTATAAGAGTTAAAAATTACACTTCAACCCAATCTTGTTCACACTATAAGAGTTAAAAAGAGTTAAAAGCTACACTTCAACCCAATCTTGTTCACACTATAAGTTATTGGTTGTGTAATTCAATAATATGAACAGTGTATCGAACATTTTATTTCCAACTACTGCCAGTTATTGATTGTTTTTCCTACATAATAGACTGTAAGTCTGCAGATGTAGTCTTAAGAACTTATGAATGAAAAGCAAGGAAGAAATGTAGAATGTTAACCACAATCTACATCTGCCATGTCCACTGCTGACCAATATCTAGACTCATCAGGCCGGCTGGACACACGACAGACACGTGTACAGCGCCTAGATCACTATTCTCGTCAACAACAACAACAACTATTATGGTGTGAACGAGATTAAATAAATGAATTGTAAGACGGCCCCCACCCTTCCACTCCTTATCACGATCATCATTAGCAGACATCAGTGTTCAAACAGTAAACAATTTTCTCCATTATATCGACGAGTGTGTAATTAATACTTAGAAGCAGGCTTTTATTTTATTTTGTATTTATTCCAATATTCACTAAACTTGATAGTCGGGAGCATGTACATAGTTTCACGAAGTGATGACAGAAAGTGTATAAACATCTTAGTTTCCACGTTAATCACGAGGAGAAGTCGATTAAAGTACGTGGAATGTAAACTTTTAGTCTAAAGACACTGATTGGTTTCAAATGTTCACAGGCCAAAGACAGCGATTAGTTTCGAGATTTCATTTTGTTTATATATATATATATACACACACACACACAGACGCACGCACACAGTTGAAATTGTTAGAGCCAATGGAACGGATTAGGTGCCAGACAACTTCATGTTTGTTTGGTTTGTTTTTGAAGGCAGATAGTCATCACCACCCACCGCCAACTCTTGGGCTACTCTTTTTTTTACCAACGAATAGTGGGATTGACCGTAACATTATAACTCCCCTACGGCTGAAAGGACGAGCATGTTTGGTGGGACGGGGATTCGAACCCGCGACCCGCAGATTGAGAGTCAAGCGTCCCCTAACCACAGGCCCAGAAAAGTTCAGATTGTCACAACCAAAAATATTTTATGAGTAATAGAAGTGTCGTTATTTTCTTTGATTTTTCACGTGAACTGTCACTTTTATTATAATGCATATTTTCCTTGCCGAAGGTTTTTCCTTTATCAATTACAAATGCCTTGTGATTAATTGATAAATATAAATGTAGTTATATTTAGTTCGTCTATCTACCTGACAGTTGGATTTTTTGTTGTTGTTTTTTTTACCAGAATAATGATTTTTTTCCCCCTTCTACCAGGTTGTTTGCAGTTAAACGATGTGCCCGTTGTCAACAGGGTATCTTTGCCAATGAACTAGTTATGCGAGCTCGAGACCTAGTGTACCATGTGCATTGTTTTACGTGCGCGTGGTGTAACACGGTTCTTACCCAAGGGGAGTACTTTGGGCTAAAAGACAACTTGGTCTACTGCCGTACACATTACGAACTTATAGTACAGGGCGAACCCTACCTGCCACCGGACGGGGGACCAAACGGTACGGTCGGAGACCGGTCTGGCGAGCACGTGCAACACCATTATTCAAGCTACCCACCCGTTGGGACCGCAAGAAAAGGCAGGCCACGGAAACGGAAGGCAGCAGATGTAGGGATAGACTCCATGATGGGACAAAACATGGGTAAGTTTACTCATCCTGTCATTACGATACCAAACTCTGAGTATCGTCACTGACGTTTATATTATACACGTCTGACCTTTGTAGACTTTTCAATGTTCGCAGATGCACGAGGGGGGGAAACAAAATAGTTGGCTAATAACATCACAAGTAAAACCTTTGTAAATAAAAATAATAATGATGATAAATACGAAATGGGTATATTTGCGTTGCGTGATTGAAACTAATAATCACCCAACAGGTAAAATGTAATCAACGAGTACAATGAAATCCACTGGCAGCCCATTTATAAAGCATTAGAGATAATACCTTCCACTTGGCACTGTAGTTTTAGCGGAATTCCGTTATCCCATTTGGAGTAAATTGAAAAAAAAAAAAAAAGTGAAGAAAAGAAACAGATTTACGACAAACAAATTAAAATCTAATAAAAAATAAAAGGATCGGAGCATATATTATAATTCTTCTTAAAAACTATTTTTACTTGAAGCGTACAACACATAAAACAGGAGGTAGCTTTTAAATAAGGAATTGTTCAGCCAGTGTTCCATATAATATTATACATAGAGCCACCTGCCGGGAAACGAATGTCGGTACACGCAGATCCAAAATTGCGGCAAGAACATATTCTTAAAACACCTGCTCTTTCGAAGTTGACACGTTGTCTCGTGAAGAAATCAACATAGCAAGACTGTTTACGTCACAGAGCTTCAAATTATTAGAATACTATCGCGAACTTTTATTGAATGATGACTTGGAACAGTAGCGTAAGTATTATCCCGCAGCTCCCGCAATTGTGGGTGTGGGGAGGGGGAGGCGAAAGAGCCAGAACTGTAACTACAATTATACGGAAATAAATGTAAGGGCCCAGTTGTTTTTTATTGGAGGGGGGGGGTATATTTTGTAGTTATGCCACTGCTTTGGAATATTGGGCTATCTGCTTTGTCTACCTCGGGGGAATGGAACCCCGGATTTGTGATAGATTTCGTAAGTGCACTACTGACCTATCAGGGTACCTTGAAAACAAGAATTAATGAGATTCATTACATAAAACGTTTTGAAGCGCGAGACAGACTTATTAAACTCATTCTCAAATGGTATACCGTGGCGCCATCTACTATAAATGAGAACTCAACTATGGATACTCAAGACACACATACAAGACCAAAAGTGGGAGACAAGTTATCGTTTTATTTCAGAACTGAATGCTAGTTAAACCAGTAATAATGCACTTAGTTACGTGTAAAGCCTAGAAGTTGTTACGGTAATAATTAAATACATCACAAGATTGTTAGACTTTTGGTTAGTAGTAACGCCTTGTTAGACTCTACTTTTGTTAGTAGTAATGCTTACTTTTGAAGGTGGTGAATCGATATTGTGTTAATTAATTGGTGCTAATCGTTGGGGTTATATTTAACCCGTTAAAAGGTGGTTAAATTGTTAGACTTTTGGTTAGTTGTAACGCCTTGTTAGACTCTACTTTTGGTTAGTTGTAACGCCTTGTTAGACTCTACTTTTGGTTAGTTGTAACGCCTTGTTAGACTCTACTTTTGGTTAGTTGTAACGCCTTGTTAGACTCTACTTTTGTTAGTAGTAATGCATACTTTTGAAGGTAGTGAATCGATATTGTGTTAATTAATTGGTGCTAATCGTTGGGGTTATATTTAACCCGTTAAAATGTGGTTAAATTGTTAGACTTTTGGTTAGTAGTAACGCCTTGTTAGACTCTACTTTTGTTAGTAGTAATGCTACTTTTGAAGGTGGTGAATCGATATTGTATTAATTAATTGGTGCTAATCGTTGGGGTTATATTTAACCCGTTAAAAGGTGGTTAGTTTGTACCTATTTGTGAATTAGAAGCTACATTTAACTAGTTAGTCAGAATAATTAAGACTGGTGATGGAGTAATAATTTAATTAGTTAGAGTTGTTTAATGTTCGGTGGGAGATTTATATGTTTTGTTTTTGTTCTTTTATATAATTAATTAATTTACTAAAAAAATAACATTTAAACTGTAGAGGAAAAATACTGAAATTTGCATTTGTAGTTTCATTTTAAAACCGGGAAGTCTGATATTAAGCTTGTTTGTTTTGAATTTCGAGCAAAGCTACACGAGGGCTATCTGCGCTAGCCGTCCCTAATTTAGTAGTGTAAGACTAGAGGGAAGGCAGTTAGTCCTCACCACCCACCGCCAACTCTTGGGCTACTCTTTTACCAACGAATAGTGGGATTGACCGTCACATTATAATGCCCCCACGGCTAAAAGGAGCGAGCATGTACGGTGACGGGGGGGATTCGAATCTGCGACCCTCAAATTGTTTGTCGAGCACCCTAATCACCAGGCCTTTCAACATGCGAGTCAATGTAAACGGTAAATTGTGAAGTATTGGTAGCAAGTGTATTATTTTATAGAGTGATGGTTACTGTTAAAAATAATCCATATGCAACTAACGTTGATTCTCGTAGAGACGAGACAATTACTAAATTATTAAATTATTAATTACATATTAATCCGTAAGAAGATTCTTCGTGACGCCGATTTATAAAAAGTGCTGTGGACAATACCC